GTATTATTCCTTTATTCTTCCACACAGTGCTCTTCGATGGAATAATTTTAAATATTATTCACCTTGGTGAAGCATGGCTGAAGTGAATAAAATACAATTAATGTACCTCGTGCTTAATAATATTTATTTAAATCTATTGACTCTCCTATACATTAATATATTCAAATATTCACTATATCTTTGTGCCTTTGACTGTATATACGTCTTTATATTACATTACACTGACTTTACATTAGTTTTACAGTAGCTATTACACCAGCTATACATTTTACAGTAGTTAATATCTGCTAGTGTAAAGAAGGATAATCCATTAATTATATTCTCGTTCTTAATTCACCTACTTTTTAAAATATTTCATTTTCAACATATTCCTATATTTCATTAAAAATAAGGATGTATTTTTATTAAATTCATAATTCTAACATTTCAATGCACAAGGACAAGCCTGCCAATCTTTCAAGTACTTACAATCAAGAAATGAAAATTTAATCAGCCAAGAGAATGAAATCATAAATAAAAATGCTAAAGCCTTCCTGTTCTAACTAGCATTTATCACTCAGTCGTTTGTAATAATGTACACTTTTTAAATGCCATATGGAAACCTCCACAATAAAGACTTCATATCTACCATATATTTTAGAAATACATGAGCCACTGGAAGATAAGAGAAATAGGGAAAGGTACATCTCAAAGAAAAAATGCAGCTTTGTAACCTTATCTTCCCAACGTTTCCACAAAATGAATTTCCAATGGCTATCTCCCACCTATTTCTTCCTTTTATTTTTTCTCTTACTTTTAATTTTTGAAAGCGATGCTGACAAATTTGTTTAGTCTTAAATTTAAAAAACTAAACTACATCATCTTATTTGAATGAAGATTTAAACACTGACCAATTTGAAAGCTGAATAAGCATTGCTCTTTTACAGTACGTGACATATTCTCTGTCAACTTCCTCTGTTTCTTCATGAGTCACACCATACTTCATTGTATAAGCAAATAAAACATTATAAAGAGCATTTCCAAAATATTTTTAAAGCCAGCAATCCCACACTCACTGTAAGAGTAGAGGGGAAAAAAACCTCTTTTGCATCATGTCAGGCTGCTCTGCTTCACGTTCATGAACATTATTAAGCCCTTGAAAATAAAGAGTAGTTGCCGTCTGCACTGTCACACAGCCAGCGTTCCTCTCTGCAAACAGCACCGCTTGTTTACAACTGGCAACAGACACAGAGATACCAGCTCGTTCCCTTTAGCTTATACAACGCTCCATTGGGTATGAACAACTACACTTAGGATACAGTGAAGCCCCAGGTCATAACTATGGACCCTTCCAAAAAAAGATCATCATTTTGTTGTTTGTTTATTTTAAAGGAAATGTGATAGAAACAAACACGAATAAATTACATAAAGGAAAAATAAAAGAGTCGTCCCAGTAGGCAGACTCAAACTGCACTGGTAAGGTAGCTTCCAGTGCACAATTCCAGATCCGAATGTGGACTGTGTGCAGGATAACTTTGTCTGCGGGCACCAGTTGCGAGTACTGTTTTCTCTCTTCCCTTAAAAGCTCCTTAATAAATATCACAGTAGAGGCGCCTGGGTGGCTCAGTCGGTTAAGTGTCCGACTTCAGCTCAGGTCATGATCTCACGGTTCGTGGGTTCGAGCCCCGCTTCGGGCTCTGTGCTGACAGCTAGTTCAGAGCCTGGAGCCTGTTTCAGATTCTGTGTCTCCCCCTCTCTCTGACCCTCCCCTGCTCATGCTTTCTCTCTCTCTGAAATAAATGAAAAACATTTTTTTAAAAAAATGTTTTAAAAAATAAAAAATAAATAAATAAATATCACAGTAATATGGGTGCCCACCACATCCATACACCCAACCGATCATTCGCATCCACCACATCTGAAGGGTTGCTTCAAGCACAGGCTTCCATGGGATTCTACAAAAGCTATGAGAGAAGGGACCATACTACAGTCTTTTATAACCCAGAATACTACTTAAAAAACAGGTTAACACTGCTGGAATAGAAGACTTAAATGAAATATTTAAAACTCAAGTATTGGGGCGCCTAGGTGGCTCAGTTGGTTAAGCGTCCAACTTTGGCTCAGGTCATGATCCCATGATTCGTGGGTTTGAGCCCTGCGTTGGGCACTGTGCTGACAGCTAGCTCAGAGCCTGGAGTCTGCTTCAGATTCCGTATTTCCCTCTCTCTCTGACTCTCCCCTGCTCACACTGTGTGTCTGTCTCTCTCAGAAATAAATAATACATTTAAAAGAATTTTAATAAAAAAAATAAATAAAAATCAAATATCAAAAACAGAGCAAATCTACTTAAATCATTTGCGAAGTGAATTGAGTTCCCCATTAAATTTCTCTCAAGCAGCCGGTTTTCCCAATAAAGTGTGTTAGCTTCTTTCTTCTTAGAAAAATAAAGACTCTGAATTGTTTTCAGATATTCTGATGACATAGAAACTAGACAGTAGGCATTTTACTTACTAATAAAGTCACTTGCTCAATTGTGATACAGTAAATGTGATTTCTCAAATTGCTTTTAGCATATATATTTAAGTTTGTTTTTAGGGACATAAGCCTAAAGCTACTTACTCTATTTATTAAATTAAAAGCAGTTATTCTTCTTATAAGAGAATGTATTCCAATAGAGTTAGCCTTTAGGCAAATTTCTTCTAAATTTGTCTTGCCGCCTCATGATTCTTAAATAAAACTTGATATTCCACAAAGGGAGAAAACAACAACTTATAACAAGTTATATTTAAGAAAGTTCCTACAATTTTCATTTTTTATGATTAATATGTAAGTAAACAGCAAAACTCAGGGGTGGGTGGCTCAGTCAATTAAGTGTCCTACTTCGGCTCAGGTCATGATCTTGCAGTTCATGAGTTTGAAATCCACATGGGGCTGTGTGCTGACAGCCCAGAGCCTGGAGCTGCTTCAGATTCTGCGTCCCCATCTCTCTCCCTCCCTAGCAAAACTCAACCTATTGAATATAACACAATTTACTAAACAGAAAAAATTTTCAGTGTAGATAAAATTACCTGACACTCTGGTAGATAGAGACAATCCCATGTATTTCTACTTCTTAATTGTCACCAAACTTTTAGTAATATCATCAAAATTTTTCAGCAGCCTGAACCCATCTTAAAAGTCTAAATAATTCAAAATTTTTAATTTTCCCAATTGTTTAAATCTAATAAGCTCTATCTTTTTTTTTTTTTTTTTTTTTTTTTTTTTTTTTTTTTTTTTTTTTTTTAAGTAGGCTCCACATGCAACGTGGAGCTTGAACTCACAACCCTAAGATCAAGAGTTGCATGCTCTACCAACTGAGCCAGCCAGGCACTCCATGATGCATTCTGTCTTGATCAATTTATCCAAAAATGTGTAAAAGGTTTGTTAAGATATCTTTGAAGGCAGAAGAAAATGTTCAACATTCATTGAGTGCCAATATATTAGCAACAATAGAACTTTCACTTCTATAGTTAACTCTGCTATACAAAAAGGTCAGTTTCATTGGTCACGATCTTCTTCGGCCATATATTCTTACTTGACGGGATTTAGTTTGACATTCAAAGATGAGAAATCATAATGTAGCTCTCCTGTTCAAAAATCTTTAATGAGTCTTAAACTCAAGTTGATGCTCTAAATCTCCTTCCATGTGAGCCGAGCTCACCTTTTTAAGTATATGACTCTCCACCACACTCCCCATTCCTGTTCCACTCAGACCAGTTTATTTGTTGCCTCTTTATCTACAGAATGTATTGTCCATATTGTGCGTGTTGTCATTTTCATGAGAAAAAAACCATTACATCATTCTGTGTGTGTGGTTATGGTCTTCTGGTTCAGCCAGTCCAAATCACAAACCTTTGCTTACAAGGCATATCAACATGTTTTCCTCCAACAATTCCGTATGAATAAATCCCATCACAGATACAAAGTTGTCTTCTGAGACATCTAAAAACTCACTAAAATATAACATCTTAGAATCAGACATATCAGTTTCCACAAGAAAATTATCACTTCATCATGAACTACATTTTAACTTGACTTAAATTTTATCCTGATTTATTGTATTTATTTTATTTAATGAACATAGTTTTAAATATTAATCAGCTTTGTGATTTAGTGATGCATGTAAACAAAGCACAAATTATTTAAATAGATTGACATTAATGTCTTAAAGGACAAGGAATACTAGCAGAAGTAATATTTTGCTTTGAACAAAAGCAATAAATTTGCTTGAAAAGTAGTGTAATCTGGATATTTTCATTCTAATCATATACAGAAAAGCTAATGCTTTATAAAAGGAAAAATAAATTAAGCTATTTTATTGTAGTAATAAGGAACTTTATAGAGATGATGACTAAAATAAGGAAGAGATCATCTATTTTCCAATGTGCCTTGTAATTTTGTAACCCATTAATTTTATTTCTGAACATACTGTTTGAATTAAGGTTGAGTTCTGGTCGTAGCTGATCCTTAAATATCCAATTAATATTTCCTATTTTACTGTTTCTCAGACTTGTCTGCACTTTGATGTATCACACTGCTGTTCTTATGAAAACCACATGAGGTAGCAGGAGGAAAAAAATAGACAAATATTTCTTCAAATCATATTTTTAAAAATAAATCTATAATTACCCAGTTAAAAGCAATGTTATAGAATACTACAATCTAATAATTTTGTCCGTTCATACTGCAGTAACACCATGGGTCAGAGTACTTAGGTACCTGGAAGGACCCTCAAAGGGCACATATTTCCAAGGACCATTTCACTAACAGAACACTTTTCCCAGTCCAACTCATTATTTATGTCCCAGTTGACCTTGGAAATAATGACTCTTTTGTGAGGGCTAGAAGAAGCTAAAACTTCATTTTACTCCAGAATGATGGTATGCCGAGAAAGGTAAACCTAGCCAACTTTACCAGGCTAACGGTAATAGGAAAACTGCATACCAAGTTCACCTTAGTTTCAGAAATCAAGATACATTTACCTTGAAAAGCAGCGGCGTTTCGCGATATGAGAAACTTTAATGTGGAGCTGGATGACTGAAGAACTTCCTGCATATCTTGGCGAGCTGCAGTCTGGTATCTCTCCTCCATCTTCCTGGTGCAACAGGTAGGTTTTTTGGATACACAAACCTGTAGATCAGGTCCTGGAACAGATATAACATTTTTCAGAATAATTACCTGTTCATTTGATAACATTACTTGTTACATGTCAGGCATTAATGATGATAAGGGACTCATGTTCTATGTGAGAAATTGACTTACTAGAGCAGTTGCTATTTAAAAAAAAAAAAAAAGTATGTATTGTCCATGAAGCCAAACATGAAACAAAATATTGTAAACCATAACCTCTTTGCTTAAATATTTTATTAACATTTTGATTGAACATTATGTTCATTCAATTAACTAATTACTATTAACTGACACATAGATTATATAACCGAAAACAAATTAACTATTACATCTAAGTACAGAGCTAAATCAGGAAATTTTATTTTTGCTCATTTTGTTAATTCAGCCAAAGTATTTGATCTAAATATGTTAATCAGAAGTGTATGGGCTAGACGCGCCTAGGTGGCTCAATTGGTTAAGCATCTGACTTTGGCTCAGGTTCGTGATCTCACAGTTTGTGGTTCCAAACCCACAGTTCATAGGTGTAAATACTCTGTCTCCCTCTCTTTGCCCCTCACCGGCTTGTTCTCCCTTTCTCTCAAAAATAAACATTAAAAATAAATATTTTTTTAAAAAAGAAGCATATGGGCTAAAACAATTATTTTTCTTGAGGAAATAAAATCAAATTTTGTACATCAAATAAAGGTGAAAAACCTTCACCTGATTTCTCAGCTCAGCATTACACTTGTGCTTCTTGTGGAAGAAGTGATTATCAGCGATAACAATATAATGGGGGACTGAGATCCTCCATGGGCCAAACCATCCAAATTCTACTGATTCCCTAGCTTAAGGGAGACAATTCCTACCATTAAAAGCACATTTAGCTTTATAACCATATTCAGAAAGCTTCTATGAAGATGCAGATTACATGGAATGTGAAGTTATTACACATATGTAATAGTTGTAGTTAGAAAAAATCCTAATAGAATTAACAACTCTTTTCCCAGATGAGCTAAAACCTCATTTTATACCAGAATAATTTGCAAATACAAAAACAAGTATTTTTATAGCCAAGTTTACCAGTATAATGATAATATAGACAAATTACATAACAAGACAGAGGAGGCGCCTTTATACATGGCAGATGTGCTAGAGAACGAAAAGGTAAAGGGGCATGGATGGTGTCTATCAAAGATAACACTGATGGGGCATCACGGTTTGAGCCCTAGAGCATCCCAGGGCTTGCCAGGTTTTATGTAAAGCTCAGGAGAGTTTTCTTTTCATGGTCTAATAAAATACATTATTTCCTGAGGATGCTATGGAACATCAAGAGAACACAATCAAGGCTCAGAGGCAGTAGTCATGTTTCTGTATGGCAAAATCAAGCTCTACAAGAATTAAATTACTAAAAGCAAATGAAATTTAAAATAAAACAGCAGGCTCCTTGCTGAAAGGACGTTCAACCAGCATTTCGGGGGCTTTTCCTGATGTTTCACCCAGAAGCAGGATTGGTGACTATGTCTTCCTTTCTGTTTTCTACATGAGAAACTGTTAGAGCCATCTCCCTGCTTCTGGAGGGTTTTCTCAAATGTGTTAAAATAGGATCATTGGGAGGCATTCTGGAAAGATGGCAGCCGTGAAGGCATAGTTTTTACTATCTCCAAATCCCCACATGAACCAGATGGAACAACTAGAAAATAAGTCCAAGAAATATAACAAAACTAGATGATAGAGTATTCGCACAATTTCAAAATATAAACAGGGTGGGGGGGAACCAGCAATAGCCACAGATCTTCCCAGTAATAAAATCTGGGCAGCAGGGAGAAGAGTGAAGCAGTGGGATATTGTCTGACAGAGTGAGGACAGGACAACCCCCAAAGAGCCAACAGAATTTGCTGGAAAGTACAGTGGGCCAATTTGAGAACAGCAGTGGAAACAGGGAAGCTTTTGCCCTCTTGACTATCGGGTATGTGCAAACGACCCACGACAGAAGGGAGTGAATGATCAGGAGCAGTGCAACCTGTAAACTCTCAAAACAGATCAAGCAGGTTCTTTCCCAGGATAGAACTCCACACAGAGAAACGTATGGAAGTGGAATCAAAATTCAACAGAATAGGGATCCAAAAAGCAGGTCTATACCAATGTGAGAAGGGAATTAAAACCAAGGAATTTCAGAAAAGAAGCACCCATAGTTTTAAATGCTGCAGAAAAAGGAGAAGTTCTGTAAAGTTAGAAAAGCTTTTCAGAAGCCTGCCTCAACCTAAATGTCCAGGAAAAAAATACTCACTTCCTATAGAACAAACAACAAAAAATACTGTGGTCAAATCTCACACAGAGCTATTATGATAAAAGAGAGTAAGGAACAGAATAATATGCCTGCAGACAAAGAAATCACGCTAGAAAGATATGCTCCTAAAAAGGAAAACAAAAGATCAAAGATAATGAAGGAAAACATGAAAGAATAACACAAGTCAGAATCAGAAAACCTCCAAAGTGAGGTGACCATACTCGGTAGAGAACAAAAGATGAAAGAACAAGTTCTGAAATGAAGACTAAACTAGAAGGAACAGAAGAGCCAGTCACAAAAAGGTCAATGCCCTACGGGAAAGAAAATGAAAAATAAGAAATTTTGAAAAATCAAAAAAATCAATGGAAAGATTTGAAAGACAGTAATAACAAACACACTCGTAATATCGGCCCCCAAAATTTGCCCCTGAAAGTACATATTTCCTACCCTCCCTGAAAAGGCCAAGAAACAATGACCAACAGGGTGGCAAAAGGCATGCCTTGTGCCCAGATTATCACCTTGACATAATACTTTTCACAAGAAGAAATCAGTGCTTCTTAAAGAAATGCTTCATCCTGGGTCTAGAGCAGGCAAAAAAAAAAAAAAAAAAAAAAACCAAGATGAGAAACTAGCCAAAGCATCCTGTCCACAAGATAGTGAAGAAGGTACCAAATAATTAGCAGGCTCTCATCAAAAGGATTCAGGAGCTAGGCCAGTGTTCTAGGCCTGTCAGAAAACAGAATGGACTGGTCAGTTAAACAATAGAAATTTATTTTCTCACAGTTCTGGAGACTGAAGTCCAAGATCAAGGTGCTGGCAAGCTAGGTATCTCCTGAGACCTCTCTCCTTGTCTTGCATATAGCCACCTTCTCCCTACGTCCTTGGGTGACCTTCTTTCTGTACATTTGTACCCCTGGTACCTTTCTCTCTTCTTAAAAGGACACAAGTCATATTGAATTAGGACTCATCCTCATGACCTCAATCTTCCTTCCTTAAAGGCTGTATCTCTCAATAGAGCCATCCTGGGTGCTAGGGCTTCAACTTAAATGAATTTGAGGTGGGGGCTGGGAGGACACAATTTAGTCTAACACAGCAGCCAATTTCAAAAGGTTTCTATTGGTTAAACGTGCAACAATCTGAGCTTCAATAATAATAATTGTAATGAGATGAAATTAATAAATATGCTTAAATCCAAGGGTTTTCTATATCTGTGCTTTATTTTATAATAAAAAATAGTTTTAAAATACAACTGGTCGGGGCGCCTGGGTGGCTTAGTCGGTTGAGCGTCCGACTTTCGCTTAGGTCATGATCTCGCGGTTCGTGGGTTCGAGCCCCGCGTCGGGCTCTGTGCTGACTACCAGCTCAGAGCCTGGAGCCTGTTTCAGTCTGTGACTCCCTCTCTCTCGGACCCTCCCCTGCTCACGCTGTCTCTCTCTCTCTCCTAGAAATAAATAAAACATTTAAAAAAATAATAATAAAATAAAATAAAATACAACTGGTCATTGATTATATATGTTCTCTTTTGGTTTCTTTTTGTTTCATTTTTTTAATGTTTTATTTATTTTTGAGAAAGAGAGAGCATGAGCAGGGGAGGGTGTGAGAGAAAGGGAGACACAGAATCCAAAGACAGGCTCCAGGCTCTGAGCTGTCAGCACAGAGCCCGACGCAGGGCTTGAACCCACGAACCACTAGACTATGACCTGAGCCGAAGTCAGACGCTCAACTGACTGAGCCACCGAGGCGTCCCATGTTCTTTTTGTTTCAAACATTTACTCTCCCGTAATCAACTTACAGGATTTTTACACACAAACCAGCTTTATTGATGGCTGACACAGAAAAGAGCCCTTGGTACCAAGACACTGAGATCAAGATATATTTCAGTATCACCAGAGTGGATGTTACATGTCATAAAACACCAAATGCTCACCACACAAAAACAAGACCTTGGAATTGACAGTAGGAGGATTATACTGGGAAACTTGTTCCTCCTATCTTTTCTGAGATTGTCTTCTTGCCATAAATTTTAAAAGTGATAGGAGTTTGTAAAACGTTATACGGCTATAGGGTTTTGACTGAGTCCAATGTATTCCTTCACCCAGCTAGAATAAAAAATACTTAAGTCCATGAATCCCAGCAAGAATCATGACAATGGCATTGGATCTGCTCAACACTGACCAGCATCTGTTCCCTCTTCTAGAATTTTCTTCTCAGTTTTACGTCTTGCTCACTCACATACATGCTACTCAAATGAGATTGATACATATACACACATATCTACACGTTTATAATGATGAGTCTAGACTGGTTAAAACATAGCGTCCTATCCTGTCAGCACAGTGATTGATTCAGAAACAGACAGCCAGTCACAAGAAAGAAATGCAACAAGATTTTTGCTGAGGCCTCCAGGAAAGCAAAGCTCTCTCTATTCTGCTGGAATGAATTTAATGATGCAGGGGCACAAGGCTTGCAGATGCCACAGTCCCTTCCCAGCTCGGAGTGAAGCCTGCATCTACCAGCCTCTTCTGTCACCTGCCGTATAGAGATCCAGCCAATACAACAGCGGTAACAGCCCACAGAGTGACACCAGGCTAAACTATGCCCCTCTCTCATACGCTTTATTCCAGAACTTCAAAAGGACTTGATATTAAACGGAGGGTCAAATAACACCCGTTTAGGGCCTGCTCCAGTTTCCTGCTCCATGATAACTTTTATGTCCAAGAAACAATAAGAATTTTGTTATTGTATTTT